AATACACATACCAACATATATTTTAGAAAAGCTGTATCACTCAAACTATGTATATATTTCAGTTGGGTATAATGATTATGGAAGACGGCATAATATGGCTGAGTTTTTATTTGCTGGATATGAAAACATTTATTTTCAATAAACATTTTTAATGAGTTACATGTAAACACTGGCCATAGCTTTCGCAGAAGCGGTGGGTCTACCGGTGCGGCGATGGAGATTTCGTCGCAGAAGCGGTGGAAAAATATGGCTGTCGGATAGTTTTTTGTTGGTGTCGGTAAGTTTATGACTTATTTGTACGTTATGTTTTTATGTTCTACTGATAACACCTAGTGAGACTGGAGCCCACATATGTACTCTTCCAACTTATTACACGTATGGGGTGCAAATCATGACCAGTTATGCAAACACTTCTGTACAGTTTGACGAGGGGACGCCACTTTTGCCTAATTTTGTTTATAACACTACATATGTACTCAAAACTACCCCTAGATACACTGGCATCGCATCGTATGTATGATAATTACACAAAAAAAAACATATTTTGGAACTTTTGGAAATTGATATTACCATTTAAATTAAAGAATTGACAAAAATTGATTACAACGCAGACGGCAGTGGATTCGATTGCAACGCAGTGCGGTGGGCCCGATATCATTTATGTCTTTTTTTAACGTTAAAGTCACAGATACTTAGGAGTTGAGCTCCAAACGCCTTAAATACAAATGAAATATATATTTGTTAATCCTAACACATATAGTTGTTATATATATCAATGAAAGTAAATATACGCTTTTTTGAAAACAAAATGACTCTCAGATATGCTGTATATAAATGAGCTTTAAACTACCTTGCTATAATCGGAGTCATTCGGCTCACATTCATAGCGCACCGCATTTAAATACGATAGAGCTGAGTGCCACGCTTGAATTTGTTGAAATATTTTGTAAATAAATAAATCGGCGATAGTTTAAATTTTTTCTCATAGTGTGTTTGTATATTGAAGATGAAGTTTGATATTTCTGAAATAGAAAAATATGATGAAAAGTTATAATAAGTACCAGTTATATATGTTTAATAGATGACTCGTGTCACCTGTTGACAAAAGTATAATGCGAAAATATTGGAAATAGAATCAATTGGAAGGTGATTTGAGGGATGTGCGATTTTTTTCTAACACATTTTTTTATTTTGTGTATATTTTTGACGTATAAATATTTACTTTTTCTTCAAAACAGCATAAATGTAAGTTTTATTGAAATATATGATAAGAATATGGGCTGGAATTAATAAATATACAATTATTAGGTTTTAAGGCCTCAATATTCATGTATATTTTCATGAAAAGTTTGGAAATGTATTTATGTTTTACTTTTACCACGGTACATGTTCCTCCTTGTTAATTTGTGTCATCCTCAGTAGAGTTAAAATACAAACATAGAAATTTGATTGATAATGTCTGGCAGAGCCAGACGTCTTTATTGTCTAAGAATAGATTATGATATAATCAAAAGATTAATCAGAAACTTCAAATACGCTTTCATATAGAAAACAATTGTAGCAAACGTTATAATAATAGATGACACAAAGTTGGACAGCAAAAAACCACCAAACTGTCCAACCAAAGGAGGAACGACAGACCGTGAAAAGCAACGAAAACGAAAGAGCGACAATTTAAATTCTGACTTTAAGATTACAATTACAATTTACAAACAAAAATATACGATAATTTGAACGCGTGCATGTGCAATTCGCTCATAGGCCAATAAACAACATTTTCGTCTACCTTTTTTTGTCAGGTATATTGTAATATTTTATTTCAAAATGCATTCTATAATTTTTTATATTACATGCAGCCTATTTATAGCTTTGTACACGTTAAATAAAAATTTGATATAATTTAATGTTAACATGTAAAGTTATATTAAAAAAATGAAATAAATAAAATAAGAAAATAGATAAAGCAATAAAGCTTAAGTTAGTGTCACTATCAACAGATCTCATCTCATCTCATCTTATCAATGTATTAAAATTTTATCACAAACTGTTCATAAGTAAAAATAAAGTTCAAAATATATTTATGACCAATGTGTTAGTAATACATAGTTAATGATGACTCTTGTGTGTTAAACTACAAAAACATTTTGATTTGTTAAATTGAAAGATTAAATTCAATATACGAGTTAAAGCTATATATAGTTAACATATACTTCAATATGTTGAACTAGTGTCCAAACTGGAATTTAATTTATCAAGACATTTTATAAGTTAAATGAATGCATAGTTTGTAAAGAAAATACAAACTTTAAGTATTTTTTAATTCAATTTATAAGTTAAAATTACCATTTAAGCACTTCATAGTTAACATACACCCCAATATGTTAAACTAGTATCTAAAACAGGGATTGTTTTATAAAAACATATTTATAAGGTACATGATGCAAAAAAGCGTATATTTACTTTCATTGATATATATAAATATATAACAACTATATGTGTTAGGATTAACAAATATATATTTCATTTGTATTTTTAGGTGTTTGGAGCTCAACTCCTAAGTGTCGGTGACTTTAACGTTCAAAAAAAGACATAAATGATATCGGGCCCACCGCACTGCGTTGCAATCGAATCCACCGCCGTCTGCGTTGTAATCAATGTTTGTCAATTCTTTTATTAAAATAGTAATATCAATTTCCAAAAGTTCCAAAATATGGTTGTTTTGTGTAATTATCATACATACGATGCGATGCCAGTGTATCTAGGGGTAGTTTTGAGTACATATGAAGTGTTATAAACAAAATTAGGCAAAAGTGGCGTCTCCTCGTCAAACTGTACAGAAGTGTTTGCATAACTGGTCATGATTTGCACCCTATGCGTGTAATAAGTTGGAAGAGTACATATGTGGGCTCCAGTCTCACTAGGTGTTATCAGTAGAACATAAAAACATAACGTACAAATAAGTCATAAACTTACCGACACCAACAAAAAACTATCCGACAGCCATATTTTTCCACCGCTTCTGCGACGAAATCTCAATCGCCGCACCGGTAGACCCACCGCTTCTGCGAAAGCTATGGCCAGTGTGATGAAGACAAATGACACTTAGTAGCTAATATCTTTTATACATGAATACACTTAATGTCATGTGTTAACACGAGGTCACGAAACGTATTTTCCAAAGGCAGTATGTACTTTCACATTCTGTCTACCGAAAAAAAAGTGAATAGACACAATGACTTTCCTCTTAATTACAAATTAATTTAAACACTTCCTACATTCAGAACAAAAATATGAATTTACTTTTTGTATTGGTTTTTACTTTTACACGTGCAGTATCTTATCGCCAAGACGTGGATTTAAATCTAAACATGTGTATCCTTTATCACTAAATGCAAAATTAATGTAAGTTGACCTTTTGACATCATTTTTTATTAATTAATATTCAAAAGCGGCCCACAAAAGCATATGTGCAAATTTATGCAAATGACGATTTTTACAAACGCGGGTCTATGAACCAGTATGAAAAAAGTCGACTATGAACGGTATTTGATATAGTATCTTCACAACAGCAGGTGTCTAGTGCTGTGTGGCAGCTTAAAAAAATTGTCCCGTACTTCACTTTAGTGTTGTTATATTTTTCTAGTCCTTCGGGATCATTGATGCCAGCACTATTGAGGCATGAGAATTGAGTACAGCTCAAGCCGGTGCTAGAGGGCTTGAGGGATGTTGCACGTATTCATTATCCCTCATCAACAGACTGAATCAAACCGAGTCTGCAGTTCTCTTTTTATTTTGTTGTGATTAATGCTTCCGAGGAATCACTTTGTTTCCAGATTTTTATACTTCACAACAGCAGGTGTCAAGTGCTGTGTGGCAGATGTAAAAAGTTGCCCCGTACTTCACTTCAGTGTTGTTATATTTTTCTGGTCCTTCGGGATCATTGATGCCAGCACTATTGAGTGTTGAGAATTGAGTACCGCTCAAGCCGGTGCTAGGGGGCGTGATAGATGTTGCAGGTATTCATTATCCCTCATGTACAGACTCAATCAAACCGAGTCTGCAGTTGCCTTGTTATTTTGTTGTGATTAATGCTTCCGAGGGATCACTTTGTTTCCAGATTTTTTTGTTCTTTTATTACAATTAACGCACAGCATTTTTAAGAAATACAGCGTTTTCATTGGATGGCATATAAAGTTGGACACTAATAATGGTTTAACGTCAGCGAAATAGAACAGAACATATTGATGATAATAATACCAGTCAAAACTGTATAGTTAACATATTCTTTCATACTTGACCGTACAATGATTTACTTATCTCGAGTAACTGCGCTAGGGGAATAGTGTTTTAATGTTTCAATTATTTGTTGATATACCTTAGTCAAAAAATTTTCATTTTAAGTTATTTTGGACTTATCTATCTTCAGTATAAAGCTTTATTCCTTAAGCTTAAATACACTTTTAAACGAATTTAAATCTGACACGTTCTAAATGCAAATTATAACAATTTCATAGATGCTATATGGTTCGATTTATTCTCGTTACCTAATACAATAACTAGTATCTCAAAAAATTATAAGATGCGTTTCTATTTATTAAATCAAAATAACATAAATAGATACAAGTAGAGTTACTATCTCTTTAAATGATATGTTGTAAGGTTCACTTTAATTGATAGTATACAGCTGTCATAAAGATTAGAACCAAAAAGCTTATGTAATCGCTTCTACTTTGTTTGTTTGTTTCATTTTACGCCTTTTCCAAACAGTATTTCAGTCATATAGGCGGGAAGTTTCCTTATCATCGTTCCTGGAGAGTAACACCAGTACAAGACTACCTTCCTCCGCGCTAAACTACCAAAGCATCTCCTGGGGATCGAACCCAAGCCAGAGAGGTAACTGGATTAGAAATCATCGACTCTAACCCTTCGACCACGGAGGCGGTGTAATCGCTTCTACAACACCATATTAAAACGAAATGAAATGCTTTTTTAAGTCTTACCGCGGTCTTCTTCGGGCGATTCAAACGTTTCTGTCAATTCTTTGTGGGCATTATTGTCCATATATCCTTTAAATCCTGTAAAAATATCAGCAAATCCGGAATTAACAGTACATAAGTACGTAGCACCATTCATGTCATCTATATCAAATATCAGTGTTTAGCATTGTTTTTACTATCTAACGTTCACATTATGATAATAATGCAATATACACTTTTGCCTTGTAATTTTTCTAAAAATAAATAAATAAAAAGTTCGGAAATAGATATTATCAAGTTTTAAGGTTATCATTAGTTGATTGTAGCTGTCATAGAGATTAAAACTAAAATGCTTAGTAAACATAATCGCTCCTACAACACTATCTATATCACATGAATGCTTCTTAATTCTTACTGCTGTAAAATTGAGGCAATCCAAGCATTTCTGCCATTTCTTTGCGCGTCCTTCCTTTCAAATTTCCCTTTAATTCTGCAAAAGGAAATAAATTTCGAAGCTATTTGTTGTCGAATGTATGATTTATCAGTACATTAGTAACAATACAAATGGCATTTATATAAAATGTCACCGTTTTAACTTGTGCTTACTATTTAATGTTAACATCATGATGTACAAGATAACCTTTGGCCTTTTGTTTGCACAAATCATTTCTCAAAGAAACAACAAAAAAAAACACGATATAAAACAATCTGTCTTCTGAAATAAATATTGGCAAGTGGCATTAATGCATTTTGTTCATGCATCGGATAACAAAGTGAGTTATACATGTACATTTGTTCCACCCTAAAATTAACGCGAAATCTTAAAGGGAAAGGTCCTGCATCAGAGGCACGAGATCATAAAGCGTTTAGATTTTAGCGTACGGAATTAATCTATCGAACGATGTGCAAATTGAATAAAAAATAAAAAAGGATATTTTGTCATCATACAGACCATCGTGTAGGCAACCTTTATCAGCAACCAAACATTTTTGGAGAAATACAACATCTTAAGGAGACAAATACTAACATCACATCTACAAGGCAACCTGTTAATCGTAAAATCGGAGGGGATTTGAAAACTTCAAAAAACACAAAAGTATCCCAAAGAATTCCGGCATACCCTGCACGAAACTTAGCTGAGCTTAGAATACAACACAGCATCGCCAGCAAAATCAAAGAAGTGGAAAATGGGGTGGAAAAAATAAATATTAGCACAAATATTTATCAGTGTCCAAAACACGACAGAAAATTTTTAATAACATCCGAGGTGTCTCAGTTGAACTTAATGAAACTCCAAAACAAACAATTATTCCTAAACCTAATAACTGTAGATCTACTACCGAGAGAAAAAGAAACTTAATAAGGTTTTTTTTTTTAAATTGGAGTTATGGAGAAAGCGAGAATTGATTTAGATAATGAATCCATACAATACAATTTTATAAGACCTAAAAAAATGATGATTGTGCAAGAATGATTTTGGACCTTAAACAGTTCAGTGAGTTATATATAGAAAAACGTCATTTTGAAATGGAATCTCTAAGATCTGCAATTAACGCTATGAGAAAAGATTATTTTATGGCCTCTGTTGACCTGTCAGATGCTTTTACTCCATAAGAATGAAAGAACAGGACCGCCGTTATTTCCGATTCTACTTCAATTATATAAAATATCAACTTACAGCATAAGTTATGGGGTATTCATTCAGTCATTGAAATTGCAACAAAGATTCTGAAACCTGTGTTAGCTTATCATTAGGTCATGTTAGCTGAGTCTTGGCTAGAATGAGGTTGTTATCAGTCATGTATGTGTAATGCGAATGAAACTGGTCAGTTAACGGAAAACTCGGATTAACAGTAAATCAGAAAAAGTCGGTGCTAGAACCGTGTTCAAAGCTTCATACTGTGTTCTGAATCCATGAAAGTTAAGTTTACATTTGAAAAGGTGGAAGATATAATCTCCCTTTGTTCGAAACTACTAAACTCCAAACGAACCACTATTCGCGTCTTTGCTTAACTTATTGTGAAACTTACGCAAGCTGAGCCGGTAGTTCAACATGCACCACTATATATCCGAACCCTTGAAAAAATTAAAAAGAATGAATTAAAAATTCAAAAGGGGAATTTCGCCAGTTTCATAAGTGTACCGCAGACAATACATACAACCTTACTCTGTTGAATAGAAAATAAACAGAACGGTTTTAAAAATATTTTGTCGCCAGATCCGAATACTGTCATACACACGGACGCTTCATTGAAATAATAATTGGGGCATTCAAAGAAACAAACGGTTAAAAATCTAACTGTTTCTGGTCACATGGAAAATTCATAAAAACATTTTAGAAATGAAAGCATGTGAAATTGGCTTATGCACTTTTGTTAATCATTTGAAAATATTCATGTCAAATTTTATACGGACAATACAACATGTTGACAATATTAAACGAAGAATATGGTTCTGGTGCATTGAAAGAAATGTTATGTTAACGGAAGTATATATTGCCGGCGTATCGAACAAACACGCTGACAAACTTTCAAAAAGAACATGAAATGATGATACAAAGTAGTCTTTAGAATAAGGATTATTGTATAAAATCCGTAAATATAACCAGAGCATAACATTTGATTTATTTGTATCAGGATTAATTGCAAAACTTAAAACGTAAGTATCTCGATATCCCGATCCATCTTTAAATGCTGTAGATGCATTCACATTTAAGATATGTGATAATTCATTATCACATATTTCCACCTTTCAGCCTGATAGCACGCATCCATCAAAAGATAGTATGAGACCACGGAAAAGCAATTTTGATAGCACCAATTTGGCCTACCCAGACGTGGTGGGAAATTTTCATGAGATTGATAAAAGGTACATGTTTGATTCTCCCAAATGCGAATGCAAGGTATGCCAAGAGACGCTCATAACATTATCATACAGTCCTGAAGAAAAAGCACAAGAAACAGTGCAACTCATGTTAAATAAGGTCAAGTTTCTGTTGACGGGAAGCTAAGCCCTTTGATACTATATATAGAAATGATATTATCATTTTTTTGTTTATTGACACTAGCAAGGCAAAATCTGAGTTAATCTGAAATAAACACAGCGCGTTTCTGTGTGAGTAATTTTGTGAGAATTACTCGTTGAAAACGAAATAACATTACGTGTTAGGAAATATATTTTGAATGAGAAACCACCACAGCCACGATACAAAAAAACAAACATAAGAATTCTAAATTACTTAAAAAAGATTGATACTACGTTCTTTATGTCATTATCATGTAAATTGTGCATGATGTTTTTACTTGTTACGACTCAAAGATTCCAAAGGGTTCGGGATTATAGTAGCGACAATTAAAAATTACATTTCAAGAGTGGATGAGAACATTTCCATTCAAATATCAACTCTTTTGAAACAGTCCAGACCAGTTTCCAGTTTAGAACCGGTTATTTTACGGCCCTATAAATTAAAAAAGAATTTATGTATTATGATAACTTTTATGAATATATCGCTAGAAGTGAACATTTCAAAATAGATGGGACACTTATTATTTCCACAGTAAAACAGGTTTCTAAAGAGACAAAAGCACGATGCATTAAATAAACAATGATGGAAGCAGGCACTGTTGACATATTCAAACCTCATAGTACAAGATCAGCATCAACTTCAAATGCTTTTTATAAAGGAACCCCTTTATCTGACATAATTTAAACTGCGGAATGGGGTACAGCAAATAAATTTGCTAAATATTATCAAAGACCGATTTTTACACTGAAACTCAAAATTCTGTGCTGGAATGAATATGTATATATCCAATTCATGTTTATCCGGAATATAAGGTACGGGAAATAGTTTTGCATAATGATGTTAACACCTTCAATATAGTTATCGCCCAGTTATCTTTAAATGTATATCTCATTGCATGATTAGTAAACAATAAAATGTAGTAAGCCATAGTTACATTATTGGCTTTCTGGTTTTTTTCTTTTACAATATTTATCAGAATTCCCTCTGAACAATTTATGGGACCCTTTAAGAGTGTTTATGTGTTGGATGAAATTTAATGATTATGCTTAATAATCAATCTTCACCTTACTTCTATGGAGGAATCATTAAATTCTATTAAACCATTAAGAATAAGTACATGCCTGTACATAGTGTAATGCAAATGTTTATCATTGCGTTTTCTCTTTCTTTAATTTTTCTGACAATTATTTTTTTTAGGTTCTTTTAATATGTTGAATTGTGGCAGATTTTATAATGACAAGGATAATTCAAGCTTACAAGATTACAATCCTACACTACAAATATATCAATGCTGCTTAATTCTCTAAGTTTATTTGTTTAGCTACCGTTGGCAAATTAGTTATCGGTCTGCTTAGAACTTTTTTTTTTCGTACGGCTATTTAGCCATATCTCCGTATTAACTCTGAAAAGAATAAAAAATAAGTAAGGAACAATTTGGCTTACAATGAGCAGTATCTGTAAATCAGGTATTAAATGTGATATCTAAATTTAATTTCCCACCTATTGTTTGTCATCCATTGATGTGCAAACACTAGACCTTTCTGCAAAATCACAATGCTATGAAACTTTGGTAAAATATAATATTTGCAACATGTAATAGCAAGACGGTTGTCATATAATTTCTATAACGAACTATATACAACACTGTTTGCATTTGCAAAGAACAAGCCATATAATTAAACATTATCGGGGAGAGCCGTCCGGTTAGCTCAATAGGTAGGGCGTTGGACTGTGAATTGGCGACCCGGGTTCGATTCCCGGACGGCGCAGGCCACTTTCATTGTGATTGATCATGAAATCCTTTCAACGGTCATTCGCACTGTACCTCTGCTCTAGCATACAAAGAAAGTTCAGTTCCTTGCAAAAGTGAAAGCAACTAGTACTGGTAAATTGGTTGACAGCCTACTTAGGTACGATGTGGTGATCGAACTGTTCTCTGGTGAATTCAATGTGACTTACTGTCGTTATCCGAAGTGAAAACTAACAGCACCACCACCACCACACTATCAATGAACAATGCACTTTCATGTTAACATGCCTGGTCAATCATTCCAATTGACATTTAGTTTTATCAGACGGATATAACCTTCATTTGTTGATGATTTGAGATTCGTTTGCTATGATAATCATAGTTTTAATTTGAGGTTTGAAAAGTACTATTTCTTATCACAATTTCCTTCGTATACTTCAATGCAAATTGGTTCGGACATACGCTTTACAAATATGTGACAAATATGCAGGAATTTATATTGTACAATTTAGTAGAACATTTTCATGATGAAACTTCTGGTAATTATACTATCATTTTCTCACTTTATTGCAGTTTCGATTTTACTATCATAATAATATGTACTACCATCACCAAAATAAGCATAATCTTTAAATATTCAATTATTGTTAATTTGTTTCTTAGTGACTTTTATTTAT